ATTTATCCCCTTCAGCCTGGAGCCTGGGGCTGGGGGTAGGCGGAAGCTCTCAGCAAGTGCATCAATAACATGAGACAATAACATGGGGGTCAAAGAACACAAGGTAGCAAACACAAGGCAGGAACACTTCCTGCCTCCTGTTTTTCTGTTTCCACACAACAGTGTGCATATGATTCTGTGGGGGAGGTGGGGAGGTCTGTCCAGGCAAAGGACCCAACACTCTCTAGTACAGAATATGACACCCAGGGGCTCCTCCCCTCTGACCAGAAAGCAGGTGCTGTTCTGCCCATGATTCCATTTCCCTGTGGGGCCAAGGGTGAGGGGAATCTGAGGCCTTGAGCCCCCTTACCTGTGCGCTGCAGGACCCCCTTCCCCAACTCCAACAGTCTGGGGAGCCACCTCAGGCACCTGCCCTGCAGAACGTTCCTGACACGCTTGGCCCTCCCCGACGCCTCCCACTGGCGCTGGGTGATCTGGGCCACCGGGTCCGCGGGGGTCCAGGAGCGCAGGTCCGGGTTCAGGGCGATGTGATCGGCGCCATCGTAGGCGAACTGCTCGTACCCGCGGAGGAGGCGCCCGTCTGGCCCCACCTCGCAGCCACACATCCTCTGGAGGGTGTGAGACCCTGAACCCCCCCTGTGTCAGCCCCGCGGTCACCCGGGGTCACCCGCCCTCTCCCCCTGAATTAACCTGAACTGAACATGAAACTGCAGGCGGGAGGGTCCCCGGAGTCTTCCCGGGCGAGGGGCCTGGCAGGCCACCTGCCTTAGGGGGTCAGTGGAGCCTTGAGACTCAGGACACCCGGAACCTTAGGGTGGAATGGGGGTGGTAACCTCACCCCGGCCCACTCCGGGGAGCTCACCGTCCTCGCTCTGGTTTTAGAGGCCGCGCAGGTCCCGCAGCAGCGCCTGAACCACTGAGCCTCATCCCTTTGGATCTGCGTCTCCTCGTCCAGGTCCTCCTGCCCCACCTGCCCGGCCCAGAGGGTCAGCAGCTCCACGCTCTGAGCCAGAGAGTCGCTGTGGAACCTCCCGAACCTCCATGTAGCCCAAGGCGATGATATGGGGCACCCCAAGGCCGGGTAGGGATATGACAGTAGAGTAATACCTCAGGGAGTGGGAACCTGGGGATGAGATGGTGGAGGCTGGGGTGTGGGGAACACCCAGGCTGTCCCCCCTCTCAGAAGAGGCCCAGGTCCCAGAGAGTGGGGCCTCCTAATAGTGAAAAGAGCCCAAGGAGGGACCCAGCCTCAGGGGGACCAGAGCATCAGGGGAGGT